CCCCCTGGCCCGCCAACAACAGCGTCCCGTCATCCTCCTCACCCGCACCACCCCCGCTCGCCTATTTAAGGCGACATGCTCTCCAGGAGGCCGCTCGCCGCCGCCCTACGCCTCGCGCCCCTCTCGCCTCCGCTCCTCCTCTTCTTCGCCTCCTCCTCCTCCTCCTCGTCGTCACCCGCCTCGTGCTCCTCCCCCACCGCTTCGGCCTCGGCCCCCAGAGGTGCGCGCTTCTGACGAGCATTCGTTGATTCCGGGCGTTTTTTTCTGTGTCGGTTTCGCGGTGGCACGCTTAATTTTAGCGATGTCTGTTCCTCTCTAATTTTGGTGCTGCGTAAATATGAGAAGAGTAAAATGCAAGCGTGGTCCTAATTCTTTCCCAAAAGTGTCGATTGGGTCCTAATTCTTTGAAAATGCATATGAGTAAATGGGTCCTAATTCTTTCTAAGTTGTTCACCCGAGGTCCTAATTTCGTCTGACCGTCGGTGACCAGCTCGCGTGGCGTTTTGACCGCCACCACATCGACTCAAGGGCCCACGCGGGAGATTTCCCGCGGTTGGAGGTTGGGAATTTAAGAAATTTGGCCCCTGGAGTTTATGCTTTCCTCATTCCCCGGTCCCTATGTATTCTGCTCGCTCTCTCCCTCTCTCTGGCGCCACGTTGTCGCCGCCATGTCCGCCGCCGCTAGCTCGTCTGCCGTGAAGCACCGCGGGAAGAAGGCTGCCCAAGCGCCTCCTCCACCTCCAGCATTAGCCCTTTTCTCGCCGCCCATCTCATCGCCGGCCCCAGCGGGTGTGCTGCCGTTGGTACCATGCCCTAGCTGCCGCATTCGATCTACGATTCGTCTTGTGTCAAAATCGGAGGCAAATCCTGGCAGGATTTTCTACAAGTGCCCCAATCACCATGTAAGATTTTCTACAAGTGCCCCAATCGATTTGATGTTTCTGTGTTTCTTTTTGGCTGAATTTTGTTACTCAATTTACGTCAGATTCCACCAAATACTCTTGTGGTCCTAGATATCGAGGGATTCAGTCAAATACTACCATTGATTCGAGCTAAATCAGAATCCAAAGAAAAAGAGGATCGAGAGTTAGGGTTATGGGCACGACACTAACCGTATCGCGGACGAGGATCTCTGGGTAGCCGTAGCACGGGCGCCATCCTAGCGGCGGCGCCGCCGGACAAGCGCCTGCGATGACCGCCTCTTCTCACCGGCCACCGCCGTCGATCGCCCCTGTTTTGCCAGAGCAAAGAGAGGTGAGGAAGTGGAGAGGAAAAGGACTACGGCTGCGGAGAGATTAGGGTTGGGGGCTCTTTTGCAAAAACGCATGGCTAGTCGTTATCCCGCGTGGGCCCTCGAGTCGACGTGGCGGCGGTCAAAGTGCCACGCGAGCTGGTCAGCGGCGGTCAGACGAAATTAGGACCTCGGGTGAACAACTTAGAAAGAATTAGGACCCAAATATGCATTTTCAAAGAATTAGGACCCAGTCGACACTTTTGGGAAAGAATTAGGACCGCGCTTGTATTTTACTCATATGAGAATGTTGGTTTTGATCCGAGGCCAGTCCTGCTAGTGCTAGGCTGTAGAGGGGCAACCCGGTTTCCGGTCCATGGGCGAATGCTGAAGCATAATCGTGTATGCTTTGCTCTGCTTTTGTGCCCGTCTTAAAGGATTTCGTGGTTCGTATCCGTTTACGATGAGATTTTGGGATTCGTATGTATGGGTTGATCAGGCCTCTTTTCTGAACTGCTGAGTATACTCTGGAATTCGTTTCAGTTTGGCTGAATTATGCGGTTTAAATCCTGTTTCCTGATCGTGTCGTTATGGAAGTCTGAATGTGGCAGAGTTTCAGTTATGCCACGTTTTTTGATCGGTTGATCGCTAGACTTTCACCGACCTTGCTTGAATTCCTGGTCGAAACACCGAGTTCTACCACTGAATTACAGTGTGATATCTCTGATGTACTTTGGTCTATTCACCTTGTATCAGGCTGCAGTGCTCTAAGGATGGATAGCGGCGCTGTGGAACCAGCTTCAACCGGGGCAATCTGGTCAACGCCGTCGGTGGAGCCGAGAAGCATTTCCATCGGGAAGCAGATATTCTGCAACAGGTCTCTCAACATGAGGAACATCACCGCAGTAGGATTTGATATGGACTACACTCTTGCGCAGTACAAACCTGAGACATTCGAGGCCCTTGCTTACCATGGCACCATTGAGAAGCTCGTGAAGGATCTCAACTACCCTGAGGAGGTTGATGTCAATAGTTACTTCTCCCATTTTATGTGATTTTAGATTTGATATAGGGACTTGGGGTCTGTTGTTGTGTCAGGATTTCATGGTTGCCTCAAAGTAACTTGAATAGTTGCATTTAACACAGTACCAACATCATGTCTTTACCTGTTTCGACTTTTGAGCAATATTCCCACCTGTGATAGTCCATGATTTGGACCATGAATTTTGTTCGGTAGTATAAATGCATGAAATTTGTTGCTGCTCTGAACCAAAGAATTTTATGCTAGTTATTGCTATTTATCTTAGGAAGGATCACCAATTTCTGCATTAATGTAGTAGCAAAAGGTTCATACTATCAAGTGAATATCTGTTTATTACAGAAGTGTGGAATTCTTTGTGAAGGACATTTAGTTTTTCTTAGGACTAGCAATTTGATGCTGAGACTTGTGGGCTTAATACTCTCTTGGCTTGCAAGTTTTTGTTCTGAATTGGATTTACTCTGTTTCATTCTGCAGCTGTTGACATGGCAATTTGACTGGAAGTATATGGTCAGAGGACTAGTTCTTGATAAGAAAAGAGGAAATATCTTGAAGGTCCGCTGCATTTGCTTGAACTCACTTCACTTTGTTGACTGAAAATGAACTTGTGACACATAGAAACAACATTACTCTGTCTAATAAAAAATGTACATCGTTTTGAATATTGACATGATCTACAAGGCGAAACTTTGACCATCAGTTTCTATGAAAGTACATTGCTTCAAATAAAAATGATTATTCACTAAAAAATGTTTCATATCAGATTTAGTAATATAAATTTCATGCAACCAATGTTGGTAAAAAAATCAGTGCTGGTTAAACTTAAGAATGTTTGACTGATCTCTTAAAAAACTTCTGCAAGCAGTGGGCGTAGGATCAGAATTAAAAAAAAATGAGAACAAGATGCAGGAAATCCATGGTAGGACTGGGAGCAATTCTTTGTATTTAGCAACAAAGGGGTCATGCATCCCTATTATTTACAAGTTGATGCCTGGAACCTTTTGTTTGTGCTTGCATGATACTAGTGCTGACCTAATTTCTACCTTATTGTTTTTACTTTTATATCTAGTTTTCACTATAAGATTGCATGTTGTAGTTCCCTATTCATACTTCTTGACAGTTGAAAACACCAATTGTTCACTAAACACTTCCCATCATGTTGAAAATATTCAATCGTCTCTTGATGCAAAAGTTCTGCATGGTAGGAGGCAACTGTTGAAGTGTATATGTGGATTCCCCTTTCCATCAGTTCGGACCTTTGGTTGCATTGGCTAGTGCATGAAGCTTAACAGCAACAACACAAAATAGACCTAGCATAAATTAAATTCCCACTGGTTATTCACTACTTGCTACTGTTGGTTAATTTTACTTTTATACTTTCTGAATCAGTGGTCAGTTTAACTGCCATTTTAACTATTTGTGCAATATCAGATGGACCGGCACAAGTATGTAAAAGTTGCATACCATGGATTTAGGGAGATGTCGAAGGAAGAAAAAGTTGCTGCTTATGGGAGTACATTGATAAGGGATTCCTTCGATGAACCTGATTATGCCCTTATAGATACACTTTTCTCACTGGGTGAAGCCTATCTGTTTGCTCAGCTTGTTGATTTCATGGACAGCAATCCTGCAAAAGTACCTTCAGGCACTGAGTATGATCATTAGATCCATATATGGTTATTATTCTTTCACAAATGATTTGAAAATGATTGCAATGTATGGATATTGGCAAGCATAGGTGAAAATTATGCTTTCACATATGTTTGTCTATTCATTTTCCTCTGTTCCTCTGCCCATATGTAAAATATTGGGCAGACATTTTATTCCATATATTCTGATCTGCATCTTCCATTTTACTTGTATTGATATTGCTAATGTACTTGTTACCTTGGATTATTTTGTTGTTACAGCTATGCGCATATGTATAGAGATGTGAGGTCTGCGGTTGATCTGTGTCATCGTGATGGAACTTTAAAACGAATGGTTGCAAAGGAACCTAGCAGGTAGTTCTGTATAATCTTAAACAACCATGTAGTGGTTATTCTAGATCATAGTGCTAGGCACAACAATGAGTGGACATCGTTTTTCTTTCTTTTTTGCAATAATTTGGTATGGTTCTCTTTTTGTTTGTTCACATGCCTATAGACCTGCGTATATTTCCCCCATTGTTTATGATGTAAGAATTTATACAATTAGGTTTTAACTGGCACAGCTGATTTGTGTATTCAAACTTGCCAGGTATATCAATGAAGACTTGGCAATTGTGCCGATGCTTCAAATGCTTAGAAAATCTGGACGCTCCACATTCTTGGTGACAAACAGGTATGCTCTTCCTTATATCATTTCAGGCTTGATAGATGTCCACCCAAACCGAGGCAGTTTATTTGATGGACAAATGAAATAATTTGATCATTTTTGTCTGGCTGCATTTTGCATCTTCAAATTTAAGCTTCTGTCTCTTACTATCTGGAGATGAGCTTGTTTATGCAGTTTATGGGACTACACTGATGTTGTCATGAACTACCTATGTGGGCCATATATGTCAGATGTAAGCTCAAGTCACAACCACAAGTGGCTTGAGTATTTTGATGTTGTTATAACAGGCAGGTTGGTATATCTTGTTTATTTTATTTTATTTTTGTAAATTTATGCTTAGTTATCTTCCTTCTCAACTCAAGCCCATCCTTTCTGAACTTTTCAGTTCAAAGCCAAGCTTTTTTCATGATGATAACCGAACAGGATTGTTTGAAGTTGAGCCTGATTCTGGGAAACTTCTAAATGCTGATCTTCAGGAAAGTAAAGTGGTTTTAATGTCTAACCTGTTTCTATGAACCATGTTTTATAATATATGTGTTCTTTATGTAGATTGGAAGCCCAAGATCAAGTCAACATCAGCCAAAACCAATTCACAAAGTTTACCAGGTACGTGTTTTCCTGATTCTGGATGTGCGTAAAACTCTAAAATTAGAATACAAAAATCTCTCTTATTACTTCCTAATAGTGCAAATGTCTACCTGGTCAATTAGCATTTCGTGAATGTACTTGTAATGGCTACGCTATGTATCTTGCTCTAATAAGCGAAGAAATTATTTTCCAGGGAGGCAATGTTGGTCATCTTCACAGACTACTTTCTGTTGCTTCTAGTTCGCAGGTAACTTTCTGTCTGTTGTAGGTTTGGTACATGTTAGCTGTATTTCTCTGTTTGTGGCTGGTTGCAATGAATTTCCTGTTTACTTGGAATTCTCCATTAATCAAATCAAATAATGCAATATCTTACCATATAGATCCTCTATGTTGGTGATCACATATATGGAGACATACTCCGCAGCAAGAAAGTTCTAGGTATGTGTTATTCAATCTATAATGTTAGTACACTTGAAATTGCCACCTGCTGTTAAATTGATTCAATTTGGTACTTTTGATTGCATGGAAGCTTTAATGATGTTCTTGTATTTTATAGATAAAAATACACATGCCAATTTGCGTGCATGCTTGATCAATTCAAGTAACTACACAGCACCATCCAATGAATCCTAAGTGCTTTATTCTTTTTCTCTGCACTCATCATCGATGCTGCTGATGGTGTCAAATTCAGTATGAAGTAGATACCGATGCTTAGTTAAAAAGTCGGCCTGTGTTACGGATGTCCTCTGAGTTGTGGTTGGTGGTCGATTCTGCATTTTACTTTCCATTTCTCCAGTGATTATGTGCTGTGTTTATTTAAAAGGTTGGCGGACTATGCTGGTAATACCTGAGCTGGAGCAAGAGGTGAAGCTTCAATCAGAATCAAAGTCTACTCGAAAGGTATAGATATATTACTCAGTAATCCTGAAAATGACTTTTAGCAACATATAATAACTGGGCACAAGCTATAACAGACTTAACTTTGCATGATTCGGAAATAGCAGTCTGTAAGATTTTCATTGTGGTTCCATGAGAGCTGGTGTTGCACCAGAACTGTTGCTTTTAGAACTGCAGCAAAACTTGGTGGCACAACAGCTTTCTAATGGTGGTAAATTTAACTAAACTTTGATGACCCCAAGTTGCATGTGACTGTTCAGATTTGCATGTTAAATTGATTATAATCTTGACCAGGAAAGGGCCTTCTATGTTTTTATCTCAGATTTCAATACAGTCTAATAAGGTTCGCGTTTTTGAGGATTATTAGAACTGAAACCTTTGGACTATAGGTGTTGTTTGCGGCCAGCACTATTGGCCCTGCTTGTTAAATTGATTATAGTCTTGACCCGGAAAGGATTTTATGAGATTTTGTCTGAGATTTGAATAGTCTAATAAAGTTCGTGTCAGAACAAGGAGTTTGTTAGGATTAGTAGAAGTGAAACTTCACCCATGATTACACCCTAGGGATGAATTTTAGTTGGCATATCTGGCCCGAAAGCTTTGCAAACTCAGAAGTTTCCCCTCACATAGGCACAATGTTCTGAGTGTGGTTGCACATCACAAGTAGTACTATGAGAAGAAATTGAGCGGCAGAAAATATTATTTCTGTATTCATGTTAGGAAAGCATAGCAAAAGGGCGATGAACTTCTTTCTAAAATATAGCTCCATTGGTTAATACATCATTACGGGAAAATGTAGGCAAGGTGCACACGCAAAATAAATATCTCATTCGCCATAAGTATGCATTCGAGTTTATTTTCCCTTTATTTTCAATCTGTGTGTTGGCAATCTTCTTGATGGCTCTTTTTATGCTTGTCACCCTACTCAGGAGCTTAGACACCTTAGAATGGAGCGTGATTCAGTTGAAGACACGATCCATCGCCTTGAATGGTCTCTTCAGTAAGTAGATCAGTTTTGGTACTTTTCTGCCTTGAGTCAACTCACATTTAAGATATTCTTGATTCAACATTTAAGGGTTTACTTAAATACTTCTATAGATGAACCAAAATTTATAGGAATGATTTTGTGAATCATTACAATTTTTATGCATATGGATCAAATCATCAATGGAAGTAACTCATTATGTGCATACACCAAATAGGGCAACTAGTTTAAGGTTTGGACTTTCGAGACTATTTAATGATCGTGAAACAGTGTTCAGTAGGGTCATAATTCTTTATTTAAATGCAAAGAGAGTACTTTGGAACCTTCCTTTTAGAGGCGTGCTTGAGTTACCTGCATGTCCATGGAAGGAAGGTCAGAACGTGGATGGTAATGATGTTTCAGATGCGAAGCTCATGGTTGTGCAAGTTGCAGGAGATGTATGCGGGTGCATACTGCTGCTGAATGTGAACTACTTTGTTTCATAGTTGGCCGTCTTGAGATGAACCACAGTTTCGTCGCGAGCACGCAACAGCTTCGCCGCTGATTTGTTCATCTGTTCTCTGGTGAGAATCGGTCGCTTGTTGCGGCAGTGCTTCTGCTGTTGCGTATGCTCTCTAGTTTGGGTCTTGCAAAGAGAAGTGGCCACAAGTGAACGGAGATGCTAGGGCTGTTAGCATCAATGGATCTAATGTTGCACAAAAATATCAAATACACATATACAACATGACACACACCTTTATGAAAGATGAAGATCAAGCAAGGTTTTTTTTACTCAACTTGTGCTCTTTTCTTCATTGGTTGTACGTAGCTGTTATAGGGGTTTAGAATGCCATCAATTTACATATGTGAACAAATACTTGGCAAATAGTACGAAGCATTGGGAATGTATGCACCTATTAACTCTGCACACTCTTAAGAAATTCTCCGATACTTAAACACTAATTTTCCTTGGGGTATTGAATTAACCATTCAAATGCTCCTAGAATAATTCAAGCTGGCCCTTGTATGAATGGTCAAATTGTACCCTTGAAGCTTTAGTGTGAAAGCATTGGACATTTTCTTAGAGCGTGCATGAGGTTAATTGGTGTGTAACTTCATAATGCTTAATATTTGCTTGTTTTTTGTCCACATATTTAAATTGTTCGCATTCAGAACCCTCATGAAAGATACATATGACCGACGAATAAACCAAGCCAAGTTGAGTTGAAACAATGTTTGCTTTTTGGTTGTCTTTCTGAAGGGTGTGCATCTATTTGTGTATGCGTGTTTGAGATCTTTGTCCATCAATAGATCCTTTGGGGCCAACAGCCATGGCATCTTTGTTCATTTTTTATCACTTCTCTCTGTAGGAGACATACCTGAGAGCAAACGCAGAAGCAGAAACACTACCACAACAAATGACCAACTCTCACCAGCGATGAGATTAAAGAAATCAGCGGCGAGGCTGCTGCGTGCTTGGAGCGACACCGTGGATCTCAAGACAAGCAATTGTAAGACAAAGTAGGCCACATTCAGTAGCAACAACCACCTTCATGTTCCTTCTCTTCTTCGACAGCCTACTCTAGCAGAGCCCCTCCCAATTTGAGTCGTGCCCCACTGCCCCTCCCCATTTGAGTCGTGCTCCACCGCCCCCTGCCCATTTGAGTCGTCCCTGTGCTAAACTACACTCTTATTAGTGTGAAAGAGCAAGTGGTGCATCGCATTCCAAGTTGACTTGGATTTGCAGCGCGAGAGATTTATCATTCACGCTCTTGCACAGTTGATTTACCTCTGCCCTTCCTCTGAATCTTAATCTCTTCCGAGAGTATTGATATTCCACATCGCTTTTCAAAAGGGTGAATGGTAAAATTCCTTACTTAGGAAATTCAATTTAAGTTGAATGTGATGCACCGACCAATTTGTTGTTTCAAACAGAGGTTTTTTATGCTTCATTTTGTTACTGCAACTTGGGTCATTTTCCAATTCAGGCTTCCTTTGGTTCATAGGATAGAAATGTTGTAGGAATAGGAAAATCATAGGAAGTGAGATGACATGCATCTCAATTCCTATAGAGAAAAAGATGTCATTTGATCCATAGGATAGGAATTTTTCCATTGAGTCTTAGCTAATGTTTTTTTTCCTTCCAAAATGTGAAGGATTGATTCCTATCCTATATAGGAATAGGAATCCATTCCTACAAACCAAAGGGTCTCAAAGGAAATTTTCCTATGCAAATCCTATCCTATAGAAATCCTATGACATTCCTACAAACCAAAGGAGGCCTCAATGTCCGTGCTGTCTCCAATTGGCCAATGGTTGTCTAGATCCTGCCTTTGTAGCTTCTTTACCACCACAATATTGATCTCTGCTTCCTCGGTCAATGATCACGTACATTCTTGGCTACCTGGTGGCATTTGGAATGCTCAATGATTATGTCAGATGCTAATACCATCACACACACTTTAAGGATGAAAAACGACGCGTTTCAAGGATCTGTCAAATGCTTTGTGAAAAACTCTGCTTGCTATTTCCTAAGTTTGTCGAACTCCGTTTTACTAACTTATCAAACAGAGAAGGGATTACTCGCAAAAAAAAAACAAAGGGATTGGGAATGAGGGTTGTGATTAGACTATTAGAGCCGACGAAACTCAGCAAGAAAGCCAGAGGGAAGGAGCATTTAGGTCGAAGGTAAGAAAGGAAAAAAGGTTGCAAGCTCCAAGCTGCTAGCGTCGCTTGCAGGGGTGTTGCTCTAGGTCGGCAGCATTTGGGCTAGTAGGCAAGGAGGAATGGGTGGCCTCTCATAGCGGATCTGGCGCTGACCTTCCTGTCTCCAAGTGGCAGTAGCATGCCGACGTTGATGGTGTCTGAAACGACTTATGCAAGCTTCGTGTCAGGCTTCTCCACCCATTTACATGTGTGATGCTCCTCTAACCGGTCATCACCTTGGAGGGCTTGTTCCAAAATGCAATTTACTCTTTAATTATTATTTTGTGAAGAAGATAACATGGCACAAGAATAATTCAGAAGGTATGCAAAAATCACAACAATGACATTAATGAGGCGATGAGCTTAGGTGGAAAATTTTGTGCACTTAATATGTAGAAAGACAAACTTTCTAATCATTGTGCACGCTTTAATGTGAAGTTAGTGTTAAACTTTCACTTGCCTAGCGCAAAAAAAAAATATGGTCAAAGTGCAATTTTAACGTTTACCACTACCCAGTACCATTTCTGTTTATAGTGCATAAAACAGTTCTGCTTAGTTATTTTTATTTTATATCTAATTCATTATGTCTAACCTCTTTGTGTTTTCTAGATTTGAAGATCTTACAGAGAATGAGAAGGGAAAGTTGTTTTCTGAGCATGATAATCTACTGGTAAGTCCTTGTTCTGTTTGTCTTGTTGGTTGGTGG